AGGGGATTAAGAATATCATTTGAAGCTTTCCCTTAAGTTCGTTGACGGTTGTTTGCAAGTCTTAAATAAAAGGTCTATCATTGTGAAGTATTTTTTTATTTGTAAAATAAAGCCATTGTGTTTGTAAACTGTTCTTTTGTTGTGTTACGCTATAAGCAACTGCAATAAACATGTTATTCTTATGGATGAGGATTCGAAGTACATACTGTTTCAGGCTATATTGTAGAAACATATTTAAAACTTTAAATGTTTTTAAACAAGTACATAATATATGAGTTGTCTTTAATGTGATATGACACATAACTATTTTCATATTCAGATATATACCTAAAGCCATAAGTTCGCAAACACTTGATGACTTCACTGATTTTCAGATATCCCTTCATATACTTTTTAGTGCTAGTTTGCCTTTAACGCCCAAGGATTCTGGTTCGAAAAAAATGGACCCAAATAGGCTTTCTAAGGTTTAATAAAACTTAAAACAGACTACTTATAAAGACGGGTATTTATTTCTGAACATAAAACTGATGGAATCTTTAAATAGTTTGAGTGCTAATATATTCCTTCAAATCGAATACAAAATTATTGACAATGCTGTTTACATCTTGTACAATTCTTTAACCAAAAGAAATTTTAAAATGTTAATGTTCTAAAATCAACTGTGATATTGCTGCTATATTGTTAAAAGCGTCAACAAACCAAACTCACTCACTCATTCACCTTTTCCGAAATGTACATGAATATGAATTGTTGAAACTAAGTTCAGAAATTTTTCATCACCTTGAGCCTGGATACCCACTTTAGACCACTATTCAATGGATTGTATGTGCTTTAAAAGTAAAATAATCTTGAACAGAGAGGTTAAATCCCATTTCTCCTCACCAACACGTTCAGAGTGAATGGGTGAGTTAGATTTTTACGCCGCTTTTAGTAATATTCCAGCAATATCACGGCCGGGGACACCAGAAATGGGCTTCACACATTGTACCCATATTGGGAATCGAACCCAGGTATTCGGCTGGACGAGCGAACGCTTTAACCACTAGGCTACCCGACCGCCCCGAAATACTTTTAGATACTTGATAGGTTCTGATACTGATATAACAAAATAAGTCACATTTATTTATGGATCCTAAATACTATCAGAAACTATCTACCACACATAAATAATAAGTGTATATAATATAACTCAATGCTCATAGTTTACAGATTTATTTATATTTGTAAATAAAAATGTTTGTCTTCTAAAAAATATTCGTAAATCGTTCTAACGAAATCAATGCTGTTTTAAACATACTACGCACAACGCGTTCTGTGTAATCTCACTGGTAAGTTAGATATACCACAACAGCTTCAGAGGAACGACGGATGTCCACATGATTGTATTCAATATGAATCAAAAGAACATAAGACTCAGGTAGCATGCCACGAATGCGTCTAGGTATCCCTGTAATGTTGTATTACAACACAACAAGAGGGAGTGATTGGCACATTGACAGTAGGTGACATGGGGGCCTCTTTGTCACGTGGTGCAGTTTATGAGGTGTTTTATATAATATACAACATCGTGTCTGTAATTTATTGAGGGAATTCACATATATGTTATATATTCTGTAGCCTGTATCGTAGGAGTATCATCTTATTTAGTAAACTTGATCGAGAAATAGTCTAGAAGCATATTGTATTCTAGGCCACCGGACCATATACATAAGTGCAAAATATGTACAATATAATACTTGTATTATCCTTGCGCCTATCGTTATAATGTGCATCCTGTAGACATGGTATATATGCAAACTTTATTTCATTTGTGAGGAAGAGTTTCATTTTAAGTGCTTTAGAAAAATATAAAAGATGAGAGGTATTGTTTTTGTCATAATAGAAGGGATAAACGGAGATATTCATTTTCAATTTTCATTGTTCCGTAATGGGCATACACGTATAAATACTGAACGATATGGTCTGAAAGTCATTGTATACAAATGAATCTCAGGTTCTTCATCATGAGAATGTGTCGATGAATCACTATCAAATAGTGATGATACCATGTGCTCGCGAAAACGTGAGCGTATTCTGACCCACCGGTGGCAAAAGTCAAAACAGAAAATTGGGTCGGACATCATTTTTTTCACTGATGCGTCAAATTGGAAAATATCTTCCACATGTCTACCATAAAACGTTTTGAAAGCTTTTCTAAGGCCTTGACTGTTGTAACCCAGATCAAACAACTCTCAGCAAGAGTCGTATGGCGCTCTTTGAAATCTTCGTGGAAAAGGTATGCTCGATTGAACCTCAAAAGTACACCAAAGTAGACACTAAAAGCTGGAGCTGCTGGAATATTGCTCGACAAAAAGGGAAAGTTGAAAGCATCCCTCTTGTCACACAGTCTCGTGTATAGATTTTGTTACTCTGGATCTTTATGCATAGATCTAAATATTGACTTTTCACTGACTATTTATAGAACGACATCAGATGATGGATACCCCTGAAGTTATAATTAAACTTGTTGGCCAATTTCCTTGTTTTGATTTTGCCAATCCGAAAAGAAATTGAGACTCGTATGCATAAAGAAACAGGTCAGCAAGGATGGGAGCATAAACGACGGACATGGAGTGCCTACTTCCTGCCTGAATGTCCTATTCCCAAACGTAACACAGATGTAACTCTATTTACAGCAACCCCGTTTGTTTTTCCTTAAGTTTGTCGTGTTGATACCTGAGTACATTGCATGATAATATTTTTTGGATATTTTTCAACATTTCTATCACATATCAACACTTTGCTTTACCGGGTTTAATTAGATACACGGCATTATTAATTGAATTAATAAGTAACGGAAAAATCGCGAACGGAATCGCACAATGGACTCTGGAAAGGGTTTTGTCGCTTTTGTTTCTTTAATATATCTTGACAATTCTTATACAATGTATCCTGACTTATGCTGACTTGCCAGAAGAAGCAGGTTTTGAAATCCTTCTTTTGACTCCAAACTGATGATTTCCTGCAGCTGCATTCAGCCTATATGCAGTAACTTCCTCAAAGGACACCTTTGTTTGTCTACAGGTGAATCTGTTTCGTGGGATAATCTAGGCGGGTAATTAATTCTCTTGCATTTTATGTTTACTTAAACTGGGTCTGCTGGTGGACTGAAGTCCCCGAGTTTCATCACAAGCTAGTAGCATTTATCAATCCTGAGTCAGCTACAAATCAAATGTTTGGGCCGAGACATCAAAACAGCCCCCACTGTGTTGCGAAAACGAATCCATTAATTTCTTCAACGTTTTTCTTTACTCATAAGCAGCAGAATATTTGCACTTGTACACAGCAGACGTAATTCAAAAATGAACATGTCGGTTTTATTAGTCTCCACAAAATGAGTAAATGCACTATTTTCTCGACCACTTGATTGTCTGCTTTGTTTACAGTTTGCCGTCGCGTGTCAGGAGTACTACTGTGCGGCAACAGGCGATAGATACTTACTTTTTATGCAAATTGTGTGAGTGGCGGGTGCTACCAGTAGAGCAGGACAGTCATGCTAACCTATTCACCAATACCTGCTGTCATCACTGATTTTCAGTGCTCCATTCATATAACTTTCACATCTAATTTGCCCTTTACGCCAATTAGAATCTATTTCTGTGGAGAATCTAGGCTAGTACTTTATTCTCTTGCATTAACAATTTATATTTGCGTCTGTTACGGAACGAACAATAAAGGCGTGTGTTCAGTAGTTTCATTACATCGAAAGATCTGAGATGCTAATAGTTCCAGTCTAAATTAGAACTTGGTATCGGGACTTACTAATGTCGTAGCGCTATGGTTGCTTTGCAATGACGAAAGGTAAATAATCATCCAGTTACTTTAAAACAATCATTTCCTTTTATAATGTTTGTAAACATACCCCTCTGGTTAAGATGCTGAAGCAGTCTATTTAAGTGGCATATACCTTTCAAATAAACACAACAAAGGTACCTTCTTCAATACCCCTAAGGGTAAAGGCCGCGTCCTCGGAGTCAGTATACTGTGTCTGAGTGTGGTCTTCATGTAAACTGTGGCATGGTATCTCAGTGTGTTAACACTATCAAACAGCATTAGTCCGGGCTAGTACAAGCAGACACACATAATCGCACAAACGTGGATGCACGTAGCTATATAATAAGAAATAATAACCTTCATCCCATGTCACCTCATCAACTCATCGTCAGGGTAAGATGCTGAAACAATCTATCTGTCGAAGAAGTGAATACTCTTCTATTGACTTTATCAAAAGTACTTCCTTACTCTTAAATTATACTTCAAATAAATGACTCCTTTACATTGTATAATGCAGAATGTACAAACAGAGATCGATCTCTTACGAGTAAACACATCTGTAAATACTTCTTATTTTGATATGGTTCGTCTCAATTATATGGTAAATGCCTTCACTTTGAAGCAGCCCTTCCAGTTGCCACTGTTCTTGAAAAGTAAAGCTTTCAAAACGTTTTATGGTAGACATATTGAAGACATTTTCAAATCTGAAGCATCAGTGACCGAAATGATGTCCCTGCAATTCCCTATTCTGACTTGTGCCATATGTGACCGTGTGTTTTTAGATGAACAATTGACTTAACTTTGCATGTGTTTGTGACGGATACGCTCACCTGGTATCATTATAATTTGAGAGTGATTCATAAACACATGCTCATGATTTAGTAGGAATGTTACTCGACTCTGCTTTATGTAGAGATTTCTGTTGGATATGGAAAGGGTTTTGTCGCTTTTTGTGCTTCCATTTTGTGAATTAATCATAAGGAATGAACGTATGAACAGTGTCATCAATACGGCGACACTGTAAATGTATTGTCACGTCAATGCGGAAGCCTCTCTTGTTGCCGCTGTTTATGATCTAGATTTAGTGAATGAGTGTGTGTGAACGAATGTAACGTAACGGTATCATCAATTCATCACGAGTGGTATGTAGGTTAAAAACAACAAACATATAGCATGTATGATTCAAATAAGTTTATTCAATAAATTATTATTGTTTCATAAATAAGTCAATAAATATTTTGATACATCAACGTTTTGAGAGTGCATGGGATACCATCATGGGATACCATCTAACAAACATACATTAATAAATAATCAACTCCTTGTATTCACTCAAATATTTCACAACAGTTTAGTCAATGTTCCTCAGTTCATCGCTTCATGAAGAGTCATCATCATGAAGGGGTTCATCCTCTGGCCTCTCTGGTTCCCGCGGTTCATGAAGGCCATCATGGGCAGCATGTTCTCATACCCTTGGTTCATCATGTAAAAGGGGAGCATGCTGTTGCCCTGTCTCGAGTTCATCATCATTCCGAGAGTTGCCATGTGACTTCCTTGGTCCATACCCATCATCATTGGAAGCATGAAAGAGTTGATGTTGTTTGTGTTGCTCTGGTAACCAGTTGTAGCGGACGCGGCGTTCCTTTGGTAACCATTGTAACCATTTGCTTGGTAGGCGTAGTTGTTTGACATTGGGTAAGCGTTGGTATTCGTCGTTGGGTAGGCGGGTGCAGGTGCTTGAGCTGGTAGCAAAAAAATGTTTATCGTTTACTTATACTAATATTACTTTCCTTATATCGTTTATCTGCTACTGTTACTGCTGCTGCTACTACTTCTACTACTACAACAACTACTACTACTACTACTACTACTACTACTACTACTACTGGGGCGGTCGGGTAGCCTAGTGGTTAAAGCGTTGGCTCGTCACGCCGAAGACCCGGGTTCGATTCCCGACATGGGTACAATGTGTGAAGCCCATTTCTGGTGTCCCCCGCCGTGATATTGCTGGAATATTGCTAAAAGCGGCGTAAAACCATACTCACTCACTCACTACTACTACTTCATCTACTGCCACTGACACGTGAAAATTCGGGTTAGAATAGGTCTTCAGCAACCCTTGCCGTAAGAGGCGACTATGCTTGTCGAAAGAGGCGACTAACGGGATCGGGTGTTCAGACTCGCTGACTCGATTGATGCATGTCATCGTATCCCATTTTCGTAGATCTATGCTCATGGTGTCAATCACTGTTTTGTCTGGTCCAGAATCGATTATTTACAGACCGCCGACATATAGCTGGAATATTGTTGAGTGCGGCGTTAAATAACAAACAACAACAACCACTCCCTCTACCACTACCACAACTACAACTACTACAACTATCACTAGCTGCCTTGACAACTGCTTTGTTATTGTAAACTGAATTACCTTGGTTACCGTTGTTGGTGGATAAACTGTTACCATGGTAACCAAATGCCGTGGAAACAGTGTTGCTTTGACTGTGATGGCTGTTCGTTGGAAGGAAACTAAACTGGTTGACGTTGTTATAAGCATGTGCAGTACTTTGAGCTGGTAAAGAATGATGAGAGTTATGATATTGCAACAAAACTGTGCACAGTGTCTTATCTTTGAGAATATTCATGAATTGTATTCGCAACACAAATTATACGTGTATATACTCACCGCTAAAAGAAACACGAACCAAAGAAACATATAGAGAAGTATGTTCGTTAAGAATGTACACCAATTAATGTTAAACTTACAATCAGTCAAGTGCTACCACAGAGTGTCTTCATTGCTTTCAAGATATGCTGCACGTGATTTCCAAACTTTACACACTAATCCTGCACGAGACAAATGGTGCATCTCGAGACATGTTTCTATGACGTCACATGTTATGTGTTCATGAGCATCGGTTCACATAACATAACAGTATGTTCCTTTGTGGATCGAACCAATCTACTATCTCTTAAATATGAGTAAGTCTTCATGTATTAACCAACATGTATGGCATTCGCGTTTCTTTGGGTGGTGAGTACATACTATGCAATTGATTAATTCGCACAGATAAAGATATATAGGTAATATTTGTAATGCATAAATGTATCCACGCGTATTTACTTACCATTGGCTGCAGCGCCTAAGAGAGCAATACAGAGGCATATGATCTTCATTTTGTCTGAAAAATATACTTTGTAAATTTTAGAATTCTGATTTACTGTCATAAAATTGTCTGTAAAAGTTTTGGTACTGCTTTGTACTAAGATGCTGGAAGATGCAAATGAAGGTTCGAGTTAAATAATTTGCACTTCTCAAACATTTGTATTGACTGATCTTCACACTTAACATGCATTCTCAAAACTATATTAATTGTAACAGTTTTACGTTCATGAATACAACACAGCCTTATCAGAAGTAATAATCTGACATTCCCAAACGTCAGTAAAACTAGCCAATTTATAAATATGTATGTATCATCATAGCTGATAAAACTAAAGAATTTACCTGGCTTGGATTGTCCCTGTACCGAACTGGAGTGATCTTGTAACTGATGAAGCCAATGATGTTCCACTAGCTTAGTTGCAGTTTATAAACCATACGTTACGGAATCAGCAATAAGTCAAACACAACTTGTCTAAGATGGCAGTACCTATGAGTCAATAGGACCACATGTAATACATTACAAGGTGTCAGTCGGCGCTTCACGCTGTTTTGTAATAATACAAGGCTGACACGAGTGCCATGATGGATGATTGATATACATGTACTACTCATGTCGCGATTACCTTTAATTGTTTAACAAAAACTCAGATGTTCCTAATTAATATGTTTGTGGGATTCGACCTACCATGACTGTAGTAATTTAGGGGATTAAGAATATCATTTGAAGCTTTCCCTTAAGTTCGTTGACGGTTGTTTGCAAGTCTTAAATAAAATGACTCTCAGTGTAAAGTATTTATTAATTTGTAAAATAAAGCCATTGTGTTTGTAAACTGTTCTTTTGTCGTGTTACACTTTAAGCAACTGCAATAAACATGTTATTCTTATGGATGAGTATTCGAAGTACATACTGTTTCAGGCTATATTGTAGAAACATATTTAAACTTTAAATGTTTGTCAACAAGTACAAAATATATGAGTTGTCTTCAATATGATATGAGACATAATTAATTTCACATTCAGATATATGCTCAAAGCCATAAGTTCGCAAACACTTAGTGACTTCCCTGATTTTCAGATATCCCTTCATATACTTTGCCTAGTTTGCCTTCTACGCCAAAAGGATTCTTGTTCGAAAAAATGGACCCAAATAGGCTTTCTAAGATTTAATAAAACTTAAAACAGACTACTTATAAAGACGGCTATATATTTCAGAACATAAAACTAATGGAATCTTTTAATAGTTTGAGTTCTAATATATTCCTTCAAATTGAATACAAAATTATTGACAATGTTGCTGACATCTTGTACAATTCTAATGTTCTAAAATCCACTGTGATATTGCTGCTATAGTGTTAAAAGCCATACTCACTCACTCACCTTTTCCGAAATGTACATCAATATAAATTGTTGCAATTGAAACTATGTTCAGACATTTTCATTGAATAGATTGTTATATGCATAAAATGTGCAACAAGTTGAACCTGGATACCCACTTTAGACCATTTTTAATGGATTGTGTGTGCTTTATAAGTGAAATAATCTTGAACTGTGAGGTTAAATCCCATTTCTCCTCACCAACACGTTCAGAGTGAGTGAATGATTTTGACACCGCTTTTAGCAATATTCCAGCAAAATCACGGCGGGGGACACCAGAAATGGGCTTCAAACATTGTACCCATGTCGGGAATCGAAGCCGGGTCTTCGGCGTGACTGGCGAACGCTTTAACCACTAGGCTACCCGACCATCCCCGAAATACTTTTAGATATATGATAGGTTCTGAGACTGACATAACAAAATCAGTCACATGTCCTTTTAATTATGGATCACTAATACTATCAGAAAGTATCTACCACATATGAAGAAGAAGTGTATATAAAATAACTCAATGGTCATAGTTTACAGATTTATTTATATTTGTAAATAAAAATGTTGGTGTTCTAAAAAATATTCGTAAAGCGTTCTTACGAAATCAATGCTGTTTTTAACATACTACGAACAACGCGAGCTGTGTTATCTGACTGGTAAGTTAGGTATACCACAACAGCTTCAGAAGAACGACGGATGTCAACATAAATTGTATTCAATATGAATCCAAAGAACATAAGACTCAGGTAACATGCTACGAATGCGTCTAGGTATCCCTGTAATGGTATATTGTATTACAACACGACAAGAGGGAGTGATTGGCACATTGACAGTAGGTGACATGTGGCCTCTTTGTCACGTGATGCAGTTTATGAGGTGGTTTATATAATATACAAAGTGGTGTCTCTAATTTATTGAAGGAAATCGCATATATGGTATATATTCTGTAGCCTGTATCGTAGGAGTATCATCTTATTTAGTAAACTTGATGAAGAAATAGTCTAGAAGCATATTGTATTCTAGGCCACCGGACCATATACATAAGTGCAAAATATGTACAATATAATACTTGTATTATCCTTGCGCCTATCGTTATAATGTGCTTCCTGTAGACATGGTATATATGCAAACTTTAATTCATATGTGAGGAAGAGTTTCATTTTTAGTGTTTCAGACAAATGTAAAAGATGAGAGGTATTGTTTTGGTCATAATAGAAGGGACGAATGAAGATATTCATTTTCAATTTTCATTGTTCCGTAATTGGCATACACGTATAAATACTGAACGATATGGTCTGAAAGTCATTGTATACAAATGAATCTCAGGTTCTACATCATGGTGATGATACCATGTGCTCGCGAAAACGTGAGCGTATTCTGACCCACCGGTGGCACGCGTCACAAACACAAGCAAAGGCAAGTCAACTGTCAAACACGGGGACATTATGGTAAAAGTCAAAACAGAAAATTGGGTCGGACATCATTTTTTTCACTGATGCGTCAAATTGGAAAATGTCTTCCACATGTCTACCATAAAACGTTTTGAAAGCTTTTCTAAGGCCTTGACTGTTGTAACCCAGATCAAACAACTCTCAGCAAGAGTCGTATGTCGCTCTTTGAAATCTTCGTGGAAAAAGTATGCTCGATTGAACCTCAAAAGTACACCAAAGTTGACACTAAAAGCTGGAGCTGCTGGAATATTGCTCGACAAAAAGGGAAAGTTGAAAGCATCCCTCTTGTCATACAGTCTCGTGATAGATTTTGTTACTCTGGATCTTCATGCATAGATCTAAATATTGACTTTTCACTGACTATTTATATAGAGAATACTACACTCATTCTCGTCAGATACCATTTTTACGAAACGAGTGGACTTTCTATGGTATCTGACAGCGCGAAAGCGAGGTCAGAGACCATAGAAAGTTCACGAGTTTCGTAGAAATGGTATCTAACGAGAATGAGTGTGGTATTTTATTTATTACCCACGTTAAAAATATATTTAAGTGTAAATACATAACAACTTTCGTTCGTTGACAGACCAAACTGAAACCGGTATGAATATTTATATATGACCAAATATGGGCATTGTTGACATGTTTATGCATACGCATTAACAACATGCGCCTGCTGTTCTGTTTGCAAACAAACCAGCACGGACGCTCAAGATCCTTTTGGAAGAAATTCTTCAACTTATGGTAACTCAAGCGCCATATTGTTAGTACGCAGGATACCGATAAGAAAATTTGAAATGTCACATTAGCGCCGCGCTTTGAATATCCGACCAACAGTCGGTCGCTCGCACTGCCGGGGTCCCGGCTGTGCAATCAAAATGGTTCGGTTTCCTTGATCTATCAGCTGAATTTATATCATGTCCGTACCATTTTGGAAGAGGGAAATCAGACTGTTCGCCAAAGACATTCATGTTAACTGTACCACCCTATACTGAAGACGTGAAAATCAACAAACTCAAATCTGCTTGCATGTCAGTGACTGCTTCGAACGATCGAAGGGCAAGGTCGCCATCGGAATAAGAAAAGACAACCGCGATCCACTCACAGCGTTTCACGCTAGAGATAGGGAATGTTTGTTCACATTTGGGATGTTTGAGGCCACAAAATCAGAAGACAGGCACACTTCCACGGAGTTTTCGAATGATTTGTATCGGAACTGTTAACTTTAAGTGATCTGGTCGTGCGGTCGTGTACGTTCTTTCATGAACAACACCTCCCGAAACAGCGCCACAAAATACGCTTCAAAGGGGACACCGATGGCACAACCGGATCATCCCAAGTAAGTCTCGATATCTGTCCAGATAGTTTAAACAGATTTCACCACGCTTATCCTTTTATGTTAAATCAAATTGAAAGTTGCGAAAGTGGTCGGGTGCGTCACGTTCAAGGGGACCCTCGCTCTATTGATCGGTAGTCGTACATTGTAAATCGATTTATAGATCTAGCTCGGTTGTATGTAATGTCTGTAGAAGCGTGCTACTTATCTTGTTTGGTTTAATAAAGTGTTTGTAAATATCTCTCGTTCTCATGAATTTCTTCAGTTCTGCCTTGTAATCGCAAAATGAATGATGTCTCGAGAATTTGTATGAATGAAAAAAGTAGTCCCGGTGTGACAGAGGTCACGGTTATCCAATCAAAACGAATAAAACAAGGTCAACCTTGTACGACACACGTGTGACGTAAGGATTTAGTATCTTACCACCTGCATCTTCATCACGATATCAGATGATGGATACCCCTGAAGTTAAAGTTAAACTTATTGGCCAATTTCCTTGTTTTGATCTTGCCAATGCGAAATAAAGACTCTTATGCATAAAGAAACAGGTCAGCAAGGAGGAGGCATAAACGACGGACAAGGAGTGCCTGCTTTTTGCCTGAATGTCCTATTCCCAAACGTAACACAGATGTAACTCTATTTACAGCAACCCCGTTTGTTTTTCCTTAAGTTTGTCGTGTTGATACCAGAGTAATTGCATGATAATATTTTGTTTATATTTTTCAACATTTCTATCACATATCAACACTTTGCTTTACCGGTTTTAATTAGATCCATGGCATTATTAATTTCCTCTTAAGTAACGGAAAATTCGCGAACGGAATCGCACAATGGACTCTGGAAAGGGTTTTGTCGCTTTTGTTTCTTTAATATATCTTGACAATTCTTATACAATGTATCCTGACTTATGCTGACTTGCGAGAAGAAGAAGTTTTTTTAAATCCTTCTTTTGACCTTCCGAACTGATGTTTTCTGCAGCTGCATTCAGCCTATATGCCGTAACTTCCTCAAAGGACATCTTTGTTTGTCTACAGGTGAATCTGTTTCGGTTGATAATCTAGGCGGGTAATTAATTCTCTTGCATTTTATGTTTACTTAAACTGGGTCAGCTGGTGGACTGAAGTCCCCGAGTTTCATCACAAGCTCAGTAGCGTTTATCTATGCTGAGTCAACTACAAAACAAATGTTTGGGCCGAGACATCAAAACAGCCCCCACTGTGTTGCAAAACGAATACATTAATTTCTTTAACGTTTTTCTTTACTCATAAG